GCTTCAAACGCTTTGGCCATATACGAGGGGACCTTTCGCGATTCGCGAATCTTAGATTAGGAAAATAAGCCTCGAGCTTCCATTACTCGCCGCCAGAGGGACCGTTCCTCTCGCAAGCGCTCCCAAATCCTGGCGTCCAAGGGCACGCTCTCCCTATCCTTTTCTTCGCATCTCTGGACTCCCAAAACAGCGTGTACTTCGAGGACGGATCGTAATCGAACGATGGGACGAGTATATACGCGCGATGGCGCATTACGTCCCGGAGTTCCGTCAAAAATACGAAGCAGAGGCGGGCAGAGGGTATCGAGCGGCTGAAAGAAACAAAGAAAATGCGAAACACGGCCGGTGCAGGGCGTCGTCGCCGGTAATATCCAGCCGTCTAGACACTAGACTCCTCTTTGTTCGCGTCAGGGGCTGATTTTCGGGGGTTGTTCCTGGTCGAGCGTAGGGTAAACCGTGCCCACCCGGTAGCTGCGAGGAATGCACGAGCCTACGGGGGTAAAAGAGCAACGGCGCGCACGGTTTATACGCGGGTAATCCCCAAGGTGTGCGTGTGCTCTTCTCCCCCCCTCCTCTGACGACGATCGACACGTTCTCGCGATCAACCGACGACGAAACTGTGGGCCGACTCGGTGCACGCGCGACCGCCCGCCGTTCCTCCTTTTCTCGAGCGATGCTGTTAACGACATCGCCGCACCAATTCACTTTACTTTCCATTCCTCGTCGGAATCGTGCCGATTATTATTTCAGTATCGCGAATTAGACGAAACATGTACTGCTCCCGCGATCGATACGCTCCGCCAGTGCCTGCTCGACCGTCTCCACTGCTCTTCATTTTATGATTTATCCGAGTAACTGTTATCCGTTACCGTTACGTTACAGTTTCTTCGTTAATTAAAAATTATCAAAGCTTTGTGTACTATGCGTCCGCAAGAAGTGGCAACTGAAAGGGGCAGGATAGTTGAGTAGATTCAAGAGTCCCCAGGCGAGTTGTCCATGGGGGTGGTTACACAAGTGTCGCGTGTTAGGTTCACCTGGATGATATTTTCTCACGGGGACGTCTAATAACAGGTTCCGTTTATCGTCCAACGCGTTCACTGTCCGGTCTCTCAGCGGCGCATTCAATAGCACGGTGAATGTGACCCATATACGGGTCATAGACAGTGAACGTGTTGATTCGTGGGCGTACAAACTGCAATATAATATCTTTCTCGAGTGATAAAATAAAGATGTTCAACTCGTTGACTCGGAGCTGTTTTGATGGAATTATTCATTATTTTTCGAGGATTCGTTTATCGGTTATTTGATGGGAGACGTAGGAATGAACATCTTTGTCATTGATGGGAAATAGAATATGTTATCAATTACACCCAATTTAAGAGTTTCATGGAAAATTCTAAAGGTAATCCAAACGTGACTGAATCAGCATTCAATCTCTCAGCAATATGATCAAGCAAATGTATCCACATCTCACCGACCGTAAAATTAAAAGATAGATGCCCACGAATAACTAAGAAACTGTACGTCTACACAAGACATTTCCAGAACTTTATTTCCCCTTAAATTGAGTTGAAACCACCCATGAGAATGGTCAGTCATCCCGTAGGTGTTGGTCTGTGTTCGAAACGGCTGCAAGCGAGTGCATCGCACGTTACCTCTCGCGTCGTTATCAGCGCTGTCGTATAGCGCTCACGCAGCGGAACCCAATGATAGTAGAGCGATGTCGACGACCCGGTATATCAACACAGACCTACCTGACGTCAGTTTCTAGATACAGAGGCGTCCAGCTATGTGGCCACGAACACACGGATCCGAGCTGTTAGAAAGCATCAAGAACCCTTGTTGTTCCACTCGGTAAGATCCCGGACCTCCCAATCGATATCTTTATTCAACGAAAGGGTGGAGTGGGTCCTCCTATCGGGACGATTTTATCGGATATCTGCTCGCAAACCGCCACGAATCCATTTTGTCGTTCTTCTGCACGGCTCGTAGTATATTTCCTTTATCTTCCCGAACGATACCCGCGGCCGTTATCTGCGTCGAATGCAAATGTTTTCGAATCTCGAGCATTCGTCGCGATCGAGACTCGTGCTCGTCTCCCCGAAAACCCGTAATTGAAAATCACAAGCTATCAGGAGCATTCCGGCGAGAACGTTCGAGCAGAGAGTCCCGCAATTACAATCTTCTTTTTTTCCTCCAACGAGCGATATTGACCGTGTCTGTGGAAACAGTACCAGAGATATTTTAGATAAAGCGAATACGCGAATAAACAGCTTCAATTGTTTAACAGGCCGTGAGCATGTTTTGAGAACAGCTTTACGCAAGATCCCGAAATAACCCTGTCTGTATCGAAGGCTTAAAAATGCTCAAGGAACGAACACGAACGTCAAATTTTCGTAAGTTCTTCGCCCAAAAAAATTCGAGTGAAAATATATTTTCTCTTACGTAAGGACGTTCGAACATTTTTCTATCATTTTTCCTGCCCAGTGGATTCGTTTTCCTGTTGGCTGGAAACGTTTTTCACGGTTTATAACGGGTAAAATTATTAAAAAATTTCCATGCAGAGTTTCGAAACGAAACAATAGGTAAAATCGTTTCCACAGGGACGGATGGCCGCGCAGAAGCGTTAATGCAGCCCAGCCGTGTAATGGAATATCGCGTCTGTGAACAAAAGCTCTCTTGATCCTGGCCAACATCGGCTGATTGTTTCGAATCGCTGTTGTTATCCAAGAGAATAGGCAATCGGCCGTCGCGTTTCGCCCGTGATTGCAACTTGAATCGCGACGATTGCGATACATCGTCGAACACTGTCGGTTTCGATTTAACTTCGTCCCGTATTTCTATTATATCATCCGTAATAGAAATACGCGACTCGCAGCGTAGCATCGTTTATAGAGTTACCCGCAAAATGCTCGATAAAATATGGCAAACAACAGTTCGATTTTCAATGTTCAAGAATGTCTTTCGCTTTGGAACTTTGTAAACGTTCGTTTTTCTATCTTAATCTTCCTAAGTGATACTCGCGATGGCGCACAGAGTGTCGCGTAAATGGGAATTCAGAACAAAAATCATAGCTTCTAAACCAGTCAATTTTCGACCTAACACCTCTTACACTTTTTTAAAGAGAATACAAAGATGCATTAAGTGATGCACAAAAATTATACATTTTTCTTAAAAAAAAATTGAATCGACCTTGATTTTTTGGTGAATAAAAATTGTTTTAATAATTTCTATTCTTGCAATTTCTTGTCAAGAGATTACTGTGTAACTTTTGTTCGAAAAGTTTTTTGATTGGCTTAGAGGAAGTGTTCGGGAAGAAAATCATAACTTTGCATCTGTCTGTTTTTCCTTTATTTCTTTTTAATTAAAATATAAAATAGATACAGAAACAATTTCTTATCCTGTAAATAAATAAATATGTTCCTTTATTAACATTTTGGGATATAAGAATTTATAAAACATGGACTTTAGTTTTTTCAAGTTTGATGCAAAATAAAATTTTCTGCGAGGTTAAAGTGACGCACGATCGACGAAGGAACTTTTTCTATAAATACTCCGAGAATATAAAGCGACTAATTGCATTGGGAAAATTAGTTTCTCCAATTAACGAACACTTTCGCGCGAATCTAATTACCTGCTGCTATGTTCGTACACGGTAGCACAAACAAGAATAGTATCTTTGCATAAAATAGAACCTCGACGAGTAATTTCCAACGCGACTGATGTATCGCAGTTCTTTGCGCGAAAGTTTTTCTGAACAACTGTGCAGCGTGCATTTGTACAGAATTCGACGCTGTCGAAGCTCGAGAAACTTTAACAGATTTCCTCGAATCAACGTCAAACGTGATCGTTAGGAATGCGCTGTATCTCGAGAACGTTCATTCGAATAAAATGTTTCGCGTCTTTCTCTCGAATCTTTAACACCGATTCACGAATCGTTGCATTATATTTATTCGATATGTTACTATATGGTCCAAATGAAAGTTTACACAGATTTTCTTTTGGTTTTTGTTTATTATAGTGAGCGATCTAGAATACATAATAATTTTATTATCAGATGACAGTATTAATAACGATGTTTTCTTTGTTGCATTCCAGGGAAAATAAAAAAAATGAAGGATGACGTGGACGACGATGACGCTAGCGGGTCGTCTTCAACTTCTGCGCCGGAGACGACGATCTCGTGCGGGTAAGATCCCTAAGAGTAAATATTTATTTATAATTTCGTCGATACACAATTTATTAACGCGATCGTGTCTATTTCCTATTAGCGCAAAAATGATACAGAGCGTCGTTGCTCGGTAGGGCGAGCGTAATTGAATTTATTTAGCGCGTGCTGCAAACGCGCATAGGCGATCGAAAAGCACGATGAACCGTAGTCGCGATGTTTCGAACGTAATTGATGTGTAGCGGTCAGTTAATATCGGGGGCTTTAATTCCTACGTAAAAACACGCGGTGAACGCGAACCATTAAAGCATAAGAGTTGTCCGAGCACTCGGATTCCAGCTGGATTTATTGTTATTATTATTTATCGATATCAACGAGCTCGCAGCTTTTACGTACATTTGGAAAGTACTTAATTACAGTAGCATCGATCTAGATACTGTGTTAAATTTCGTGGCCTATTGGAAATAGTTCCAATTCCATAAAACCATGAGAGACTCTGGGAGTATGATGTTACGTAAAAGGAACTCGAAGGGTTAATAATAATAACAATTTGTTCCGTTCGGTCGGTAGGTTTACCTTAATCGAATTCTCGCGCGTAAATCTCGGCGAGAGGAGCGCGCACGCACGAAAAATGTTCTTATCGCGCGAGTTGTAAGCAGCCTCACACAAGGGATCCGCCTAAAAATGTGTTGTTATCATGGTGCGCAGTCCGAGCGCGGATAGCATTGGAAGAAGGCGCGGGGAGCGACGATTGGTCGCCGCGACGGTAGGGGAACCGCTGATTGTCGCGAAAAGTGGGGGTAGCGCTCCGCCGGCAGTTCGTATCCGACTGTCGCGCGTGTCGCGTCTCCGTTGGCCGTTGCGCTGCCCTTTCGGCGATCGTTCCTTTCTTATATTGTTTATCATCGTGAAATCATACGACCGTTAAACAGCGCGACACGCAGAATCGATCACCGAGGATCGCGAACGGGAATCGAGGGCGAGCACGCGTGTGCAGTTTTGAACCGCGCACCGCGATCCGCGAGCCACGTTAAAAACGTTTTAAGTGAACTGTGTCGAGAAGTGCGTTCGTTCGGAGGGCCCGGTACACGAGAAATTCCGGTGCTGTTTTTAACCCGCGCGAAACTGGAACGTGTGTTGTTCGTCGTATAAATAGAGGATAATCTCGGCGCGGGTACGAGCGTTGAAGTTTGTTTAATCGGACCAAGTTCGCGTGTGTCGCGCTCGCGCCCCCCCGAGCGGCATCATACGTGGCCCGACAGACACTAAACCGACTCGTATCTCCGGAATGCATAGTCGACGGGTATTTTCTCCGTCCTAAGAGACATTTGGGACAGTGTGTCAAGGCCAGACGATTCCTACAACTGAACATTGTAGCGCGAGTCCCGCTTTGGTCGTGGCTAGCGCGAACGATGTAACGGGGAACGCCAACGGAAGAGGACGCGCCGTGTGCATCCCGAAACCTCGCGCTCCACGGATCTCTTATCGATCGCGAAGCACGCTTACGAGGGAAGACAGTCGGCTCTCTCGGTCGATCGATGCCCTCTCGCGATCCCTGCGTTCACTCTGCGGATTTCCTGCTGCGACGGGATCTAGAACACGGTGTCAAGGTCGTCGTCGATCCGTCCTAAGGATTTCGCACGGCGGGAACGTTTGTCGCTCGTACGTGACATCTCCGACGCGGCGAGATCAGTGCTTTACGGAATCCGCGTACGCGCGCGTGTTAAATCGACCGTCGCCGCGGCGTACTTTCTTCGAAGGACACCGTGTCTGTGGCTGTGTGTGCGTGCGTGCGTGTGTATTTTCGCCGCTTTTCGACGCGTTGCGCGGGAACCGAGCGTCCAAACGTTTTCTACACCACGGCAGATCCGGACGGAAAGGCACGCTCGTCCAAAACATTTACCAACGAAGAAGCGTCTCGTGTTTCGTCTGGTCGCGTTCTCTCTTCGTCGCTCTCTCTTCGTCGCTCTTCGCGCCGGTCCCGTACCCGGTTTCGGCGAATGTGTTCGCTTGTATCGCGAGCCGTAGAGATAGAGACGTTTTTTTTTCTTCTTCTTCTTTTCTTTTTTTTTTTATCTCCGCTCGGAGAAACGAGCGATCGAACGAGCAAGATTAACCGGCGACCTGGCGGCTAATTTTAATTCGCGCAACAAACAAGACCGCGAAGTCGAAGTCGTCGCGCGATAACGGGCGAGAGAACGTTACGGACCGACGACGTCGGAACCGCCGACCGTCGCTGTTTCGCTACCGCGGTTCTCCAATATGGCGAACGTGTCTCGTGCTCGGAGGACCGAGTCTCGTGCCATCGAGGTCGCCCTGAATTAGACCTTACCCGTTATCGAGACTCCGAGAATAGTGAATTTCTGTGAACAGACAAGATACGGGCACGCTGGTTACCATTATGACAGCCGACGATGATCTATCGATCGCGAACTTGCTCATCTTCGATCGTACAAAGATACTTGGACGTACGTGTGCACGCGCGAACCGGTTCGCGTTCCCTTGAAACGAATCGAGTGGGTTCGGTAAACGAGTCGTGTCTGTAAAAAGCGGCAGCAAAATGTGGATGAAACAACAGGAACAAGTGTACCTGCACCCTCAGCAGCAGGGACTGCATCCCGGGATCATCGGAACGGTAGAACGGACGCATCATCATCATCATCATCATCATCGATCCACCACCGTGAATTTGCCTGGTCCAAGGTCAGACTCGTTGTTCTATTAAGAGATAAACTGTCCAAGAAGCGTCAAGGTGAACGGATATGCGTGTAATTCGGGTTCGGCTTTAATCGTTCGACCGTACCCCCTTGACTGCCGGGGTGAAATAAATTTTTTTTTTTTTACACTGCTTTCCAAGATGGAGTCAATTTTTTTTTTTTAAATTCACCGTCAAGAATTCGCGATTTGGACAATAAGATCAAGCTTCGTGGGGGGGAGTGAATAATAATTTTTAAAATATCTTTCGTCGACGAGATTCACAGATTTTTTTAAAATTCCGTCGTCCTGGATTTCCTGTGCTTTCATCGTGATTTAACCATTACCAAGATCGTCGAATGTTACGATGCGATTCAGAAAATGATGCTCGTGCCAAATGATCCGAGATTTTATACGCCATTTTATCGTTTCTCATTCATAACAGTTTCTTTGGAACTTTTAAATGGGTCTGGGTTAGGTTGTCACTCTTGATTCGTGTCCTTGCAGTTTTCGATCCCATTGACCGATTATTTCCACGTAAATACAATCGAAAGAATACAACTGTAGCTACAGTAACGCGGTGCTTTAACTCGAGTCAGTCAGCCATTTTATTTCCCCCAAATCGACTATCAAACAGTGAACGACGGTGTGTTATTAATATCTTATATTAATATCGGTGTTTCGAAATCAACCTAAAATCGCTGATATGGCCGATAGTGGACCGGGAACTATATTTGGTCGATTTAACGTGGTACATGCTCGTATTTACGTCACTGTTGGGTTAACTCGTTATTAAACCGTGAATTGTAAAATCAACTTAAAGATCGCCACGAAACAAGTTCAACTTGCTCTCCTCATGCCCAATCCAACGTTCTCGAATCTTACGCTAAGTTCAAGAACAAATTGCAACCAAATTACACCGACAGGCTAAAGAATAACAGTACGAAACTTGAATACTGAATTAATCGCAGTCTCATTCTTCAGTTCGATACTATTCGGTAATTCTGTGCAATAGTTTGGTAACAGGGAAGAAAACAATATTATAAAGCGATCCAAGGATTATTATTTCTTTGTCAGTCGATTTTGACGTGGATGGTTGGACTTATTGTTAATTATTATCGCATACTGATCGGTTCTCAGCCCGTGAGCGTCGATTTTCGCGCGTCGAAACGAGTTTCGGCTCGAACCACGCGGAATACGCCGATTCGGTAACTGGGTTAGCAGTTCGCTGATAATTTGAACGTCGTCGCCGTGCTCGGTTTGATATTCTTCCCCGGAGAAGCAATCAACGTTGTCACTCCCTCCTCTTCGTCACGTTTTATATCCTTTTAATTGTATTACGGTCAACCCGATCGGTTTCGAAATTAATGCAAGACAGAAGCGGTGCAATTCTGCGTGTAACTCGCGGCACGGAGATTGCAAAGGTCACGATATTGTTTCAACCTTGGAATCCGTATACTTTACACAGACAACTCGAGCACAGATAGCAGTTGACATTATGTTTATTATCTACGTGTATCGACTGCCAGGATGGTCCACTATAGTAAACCCTTAACATCTTTATTCAAGTTTGTATCGTCCAGCAATAGCTTTTAATAATTAAAGGTTTGCAACATCTGAACACTTTGACTGCCACGTGACCCATATATGGGTGACAGGATTTACTACTATGATACTAGAAAAATTAATTCTCAAGTTAAGACGTTGAAGGAAATAAATTTGAATAGAATTTCTGAATTTTAACAAGGTTACAAAAATAAGTAGTGAAACAAATTTTAGGTTATGTAGCTTACAATGGTCTAAAATCAAAATTTTAGGTTTTGATCTGGCAGTGAACGTGTTAAAGAGCGATGCCAGACGTCCAAATAAGACGAAATTGTATTAAATTAGATAGATAACAAATTTCAGAAAAATTATTATTTTTAAAAATACCACTTTTAAGGTAGTATCCTCAATTTTTTTTAAAGATTTAATTTTGAATCAAATGGGTCGATGGACATCGATGGTTGCTTCTTGTTTTCTTTAATAAAAAAAAAAAAATATTTGCTTTCTCGCAAGCCATGCACGGGATCTCGAATTACACTTCGTCGTTCGTGATTTTCATCGTATTTATGCACGTAGAGTCGCCAGAAGGATTATTCACCTGACAGATAAACACTCTGTGTATATCAGCGAAGAATTTCGAGCAACAAACGCGATACGTACGGCAGAAGGTCTTCGAAAGTCTCCTCTTTTTTATGTTATCGTGCTTGTTGATAAATTTTGTTCTCCGACCTTGTGTACGTTAATCTGTTTTTTGAATTATCGGAATATTGCGACTGAAACTCTCCTCGTTATTTTTCGTTCGATCATAGGTTACTGCATTTAACCTTTTGGAGAATTTTATTTCAATACGAATCACTAGTATTTTGAGATATATTCTTTTTATATTTATATATGTAACTCTATTAATTTATAAGAAACGAGCAACGAGTTTGAAGGATGTTCATTTTCCTGAACCTATTGTACTTTGTGACACGTTTTGATCAAAATTGTCAGACGAGTAAATCACGGAAATAGTATCGAAGGAAAAGAAATTGAATCAAGAAAAGCAATTTTCACTCCGCCGAGATACAATGATCTTATTTCGCTCTTGCCTCGGGTTCCGACAGACTTATGCACTTTTCAGAAATTTGAAACCTGCAAAATAATTCCTTCCAGTCTTCTTGACTGAGTCTTCGTTAAAAAGTTATTAACAATTAAATTAAACAATTTCAAATCGGTCTGGAAAAATTATTTTCGATTGCAGGGGGCAATTACAATCATTTTTGGTCATTACACGTACCGTCGAAATCCTTTCCACTTTCGAGAAAAAAAATCGAGAAGGCCTGGAATTTTTCGGCGAGAAAAGAATTTTTCAAATCGTTCTAAAAAAATTATTATCGGTTGCGGGGGTCAATTGCAATCATTTTTGGTTAATAGACGTACCCCCGAAATCCTGCGCATTTTCGAGAAAAAAAATTCAAGAAGTTGTGAAATTTTCGAGAAAATTAAAAAATTTCAAATCGATTTGGAAAAATTATTTTCGGTTGCGGGGGTGGATTACAATCATTTTTTGTGAGTACACATACCCCCGAATTCCTGCGCATTTTCAAGAAAAAAATTCAAGAATGTGTGAAACTTTTCGTCGGAAAAAAAATTTTAAATCGTTTTGGAAAAATTATTTTCGGTTGCGGGAGTGGATTACAATAATTTTTGGTCATTACACATACCTTCGAAATCCCACCCACTTTCTAGAAAAAAATTCAAGAATTCTGAAATTTTTCGACGGGGAAAAAAAAATTTCCAATCATTTTGGAAAAATTATTTTCGGTTTCGGGGGTCGCATACAATCATTTTTGGTGAATAGACATACCCCCGAAATCCTGCGCACTTTCGAGAAAAAAATTCAATACAGTCGGAACTTTAAATATTAATAGCTTTTTAACAAAGCCTTCATCAACAAATTAATATTCTTGATTATCGTCTTATTTTGGCCTCTACAATCTCCCATTAAAATTTTTCCCAGGCTTAGCCGGACACACTGTATAAAACAAACCTATGAATTCTATTAAAATCGCCGGAAGTAAAAATGTTTAGGTGAACGTTGCTCTGAACTATACCAAACAAAAGTTGGTTCCAAGTTTGTACCAAAAAAAAGTTGGATCGGGAGTTGATCTACGCGAAGTCGATGAAATTGCATGGTCGTTTCACGCGCTGATAGCACGATGAATTTTCACGAACGCGATGCTTCTGTTCGCGATACGAAAATTGGAAGAGGGGGGAATTTTAACGAGAGTCCAGCGACGAAAACCGGTCGTCGTTCTGGTCAAATATTATCGGAACCTTCGTCAGATCGGCACCTTTCACGCAACCGCGTCCAATTCAATTTCTCGAATTAGAAAACCACGGTAGAACCGTCGTGGCATAGCACGACCTGTTTTGTTCTACATATATTGGCAGGTAGAACCTGCCTAAAACTTGCTTTCTCCACGCACGGTGGTGAGAGAGCATCGCCGAGACACGTGTCTCCAGTACGCGAAACATTTGTTTCTACATGGCTTCGTACACCAGCCTTACAAACCTCGTTATTTTTTACAACGTTTCCTTGTTAACGACTCGCGGTCAATTTTTTCGTTAAAACGAACGATAAAGTAAACGATACGATGCTCGTTTGCTTAGATACGAGCAGAGAACAACACGACGTAAAATTAGTAAAACAGTGTGTTTTACTAACATTTTGTTTAAAGGCCAAGGTTGCAACGAGGTGATTGCTATAGCGTAATCAGTCAGCCCCAGTTTCGATTCGAGGTGCATTAATTTTATGTTTGAATATTCTAACGCAACAATTTATGATTTATGTTGACATTCGCGTGGATTACTAATAGATATACATCGTTGAAGAATGATGGTGACACTATGATAAAGTAGAAGCTCGTTTGCATAGATACGAAACTGTAGCTGCATAAAGTAGAGATAATGTAAAATTTATCCAAGTATTATGGTGACCGGCGCTTCAAGCTTCTTCCAAGCATTTATATAAATAAAGAAAATAGCGCCAGTGTCTTTCGGAATGCTATTAAAAGAAAAGTACACCATTCGACTATTGGCTAGTTTCCTGACTCATGCATAGTGAGTCACTGTGGGTACACAAAAGCTCGTTGACCAGGTGTTATGTATTTACCAATTATAAATAAATAGCTGTAGCTTAAAGTCTGTCAGACCCTTAACGACGATTAATGCTGTAAATATCAAAAGAATATTATTTTTTGTTAATTCATTGTACATCAGCAGTAATTGCTGTAGTGTTTTGTTCAATTGCAATTTACGTGCTTTTAAATATGGGCAGTATCACGAAGTCCATTTTAAAATATTCCGCGTGTGTCATTATTTTGGTAAAAATAGAAATCAGGCGGTGAATTTAACCTTCCTTTTTATCGAATTTTTTTTTTTAGATATTTATATAAATTCGTATATTTATTATTCCATCT